CGCAGGAACCAGCGTAATTTTTACGATCCGTCGTAATTGCGGGGCAAGTGCCGTTTATTTATAATATCGGCGTAAAAGTTACAATGTGCAGCCGCGCTTGGAGACGCTGAGCGGCGAAAGCTGTATTAATATATGGCACCGTTAAACCTGTCACACGACCTGCAATTGTTCCGTCTGAGCACGTACCATTAGTTGAGAATTTGTTCATTCGCCGTATAATACAATAATCTCATGATGCTATTATGATAACAATGTCACGTAACGATTCTCAGAGTATCTTTATTGATTTTATCGGATTGCGGCACAGTATAATAGAGACCGTATTTCTTTCGGGCGTAAAATGAACATGATAAGTAATATATTTGTTCAAATAATCTTTGTACACAAATCGTTTACAAATCGAACTTTTTTTATCATTACGTTTTATTTTATTTAAAAATATATTCATATTTTTTTACATTGAATTACTTTCCAATTTAACAGAATATGAATAGAATTGAAAGAATATGTATACTTTTTCACGTATTCCTTTGGTTTTACGAATGAGGAAAATGTAATACATGTTGCTGTTACGCTTATTATGATATATTCACATTGATATAATATCGCAGTACTTTTTGGTTGCTTTACGCTCGTTCGGAAGCTTCGAGCTCTATCACTCTGACCGATTTTCGATCCGAATTGCCAAAGATCCGCGGAAGTGGAAGATGCATTACTCGGCAATTAAGTCGTTAATAATTTCGCTCTAGCGATAAAAAACCGACTCCGGTATTCCCCTTAACGAGAGCCATTGAGGCCCCTTGACTTTATGGTGGCGTATCTGGTCGCGATTGACGTCCCCTGCTCGCCTTCAATAGGAGGATTCTGGTCGGGTTTTGTAAAGACGGCCGCGAGACACGCTGCTGCTGCTGCTGCTTCTTGCCGATCGATTTTTCGCATTCCTACGCCATTGAGTACAAGACCGGCATTGTTTGTTGTAAGTGCGAGATACGCCGCGACGGACTGCGTGATAGGGGAAGAGTCGTAACGGGTCGCGGATACGGTTCGTAGTTGTTCGTACTTCGTGGGCTCTTGCTGGAGAGATCGATCGCCGATACTTCGCAAGAACGTATTTGCATTGTGAGCCGCGCCGCCGTGAAACGCGATCCGCGATCGCATTGTCGCTGATAAGTCGCGGAATCTCTATTGGTTGTACTTCAAGAGGTATACAGAGAAAAAGGCTGATACGGAAGCAAATTGATACAGAGAATTCAGGATGACAATTAAGTCGGAAAGAGCTAGATAATATCGCTGCTTTGCATCTGCAAGGGAATATATGAATGCAAATGTCATTTATTAGCATTTCCTTTGAGAATTGAGATATACATGTGACTTACTTTCTGCAGAGCTAAATTTGTATAAGCTGTTAATAGCTGTTTCATTCAATTTCCCTTTCACGCTGGTGCAGAGAACTAAGTTTTAATTAGTATACATAGAATATCAGCATGCATATCTTTATTTTATCATAAAGCAACTTCTTTCGAGCGAAGAGTTTATTTTTCTTATGTTTAATTATTTTATGTAATACAGTATTTGATATACAAGTTATTTTTAGCTGGTATTGAGATAAAAAGACGATTTAAAAAAAATCATTTTCTGGTGCTAATGATTTCTGGATAGATAAACGAAAACAGCCTGGCGCGGACGCAACAGCGAATCGCATCGCGAAGTATATAGAGACACGTTATAATGAACGACGCGAGTCTTGCTCGCGGTCGCGGCGGTATGACAAAAATCAGAATTCCTCGTTCCCAATCCGACTGCGATCTCGCGCGATCCTCTCGCGAAGACTCGCTGCGAGAGGTCCCGGGAGCAGATGGGTACACGTGTTGGGCGTCGCGGGCGAACGCGCAACATCGCGGTCGCGTCGCGTCGCGTCGCAATGCCTCATCGCTCGCGTGTGGTGCATCTCACGAAGCGGCATGCCGCCCCTCGATTACGAGCGCGTCGCGCTCGTGTGGATATAGCCGAGATAGCGCACGCATTTTTCTGATTTCGCGCGAGTACACACGCTCACGTATGTGCGCACGCATGACTGCATGTATACGCGCGTCGCTACCGTTGCCGCAGTAGCGACGGGTGGTCCGCGTCCTGCTCTTCTCACCCCCGCGTCTTCGGACCCCGGTCTCTTCCCCCCCCCCTCTCGCTCATCCGCGGCGGAATCTAATGATTAATTAAGCTTTCTGAGAAAACGCAACAAGTGAAACGTTATTAAACGCTTAGTGGCACAGTTTACTTGGCGGCGGTCGGGGTCTCTTCCCTTTGCTCCTTTGTGTGTGATCTATTAGCTCGTACGCACTTCCTGCTCGCGCGCGAGTACCTTGAGATACTCGTTGGCTTCTAACTCCGAAGCAAGTGATTGTGTACAAGTCAAGTGTGAATAATGACTTTTATTGAATTTCTTTTTGATTTAATTCATAAGCACGCACTCAAAGACGAATTTTTTATTTCTCACGAAGGTGTAGAATATATTTAAGCATTGCAATGATTCATAAAATATTAACTTTAATTTGCTGTGAGGAATAATTAAATTGTATATATATATATATATATATATATATATATATATATGATTTAGAATTAATTAAGGATTGGACGTCGATTTTTATCTCGTATATAAACGAAAGAACCCCCGAGATCGGAAGATTTTCATTTCAAAGAGATACTATCTAATATATACACGTCCGTAATTAATGTTTTATTAATTTCTGCGCTGAGAGTGTTTTTGCGTAATCTATATGTAAAATATTTGAGTCAAATATTTAAGTAACAGAGATTCTCCTTTAACTTGGAATTTGCGCTCTTATCTCGCAACTTTTTGACTACATTCAACTCGCGGAACGGCACGGCCGGGGCGCCTCGATGCATCAAAGCGTATCGCCATCTGCGTTTTGCATCGGTTTCGCCTCCTCCTTCCAGTATCTTTAAAGCTCGCACGCTTTTGAGTAATTTCCACGAGGAAGATGATACAGCGGCTGGCATTTACGCTGGCATCAGAGCGCATCTGCGCGCATTGCATCGCGGCCTATCATCGCCGTATGCGTTTTCTATTTGTCCGTATACGTTTCTCGGCTCGCCGTTTAGCGTTTATGAATAATTAGCGTGGAGAAGCGTGTGGACAAGTCGGTCGCGATTCTGCGCGCATGAAAGCACACTTCATCGTCTGTGCATTTTCTTCGTTGCTCTTCGAACCTCGCTCATGCTTGCACTCCTCCGTTTACTTTTCCTTTTCTTCAAACTGGAAGAAAGGAATTCGGACGAAGCTATTCATATATGCACTAAACGTTCGTACTTAAATATCACAAGGAAAAAAAGGATTTTGCTGAAGTATCTAAAAATTTAGGTAGATGCAAGTCTGAAAATAATTTTGTTAGACTCACTGAAAAAAGTAATCTTGCAATTATAGCGAAAATTATTTAGATAGATTTATTTACGAAAAATGAGCTAAAACGGATAAGTGATTAGTAAGCACTGCGATACTATATATGTTTTGTATTGAATCAATACACATAGATAACAGAGACAGAAATTATATCTGATTTATCTGTCAAATTTAGCACGAAAGTTTCTCTATGACGTTTAATTAATCCAGATTCCAATCATATTTTATAGTTATGAGACCTATATTTTCTTATATAGGTGTATTCTTACAATAATACTGCTATAAATTCTACGTATGACAGACAATTTTTTAGCAGTTACAAAAAACAGCGATATAATTTAAGTGTAATATTTAGAATTTTAACTGAAGCGAAACATTTCTCTGAGTGCTGGATCAAAATAATTGTATATGGGACGCTCAAGCATAATGAGCAACGTTGCAAAAAGTTTTGACATTCTAGCAACTAGCTTGAGCGTTGTATATAATTATTTTGATGGTTTAACAAAATTATTTTCATATCTATATCTAGCTAAATTTTTAGATACTTTAGCGAAACCGTTCTTTTCCGTGCATCTACTTTTAATGTATCTCATATATTATCTACCGTTAAATATTAGTTAGGTATCAGGTAATATCATGTGTTGCGATATTTTGGTCACGTTTCTTCGTTTTTCTTTTCTTATATGCGGTGTTTGTAAATCCGCGAACGCGCTCCCAAGCTAATTCATCAGCCGAAAAAATGTGGCTTCCGGGGACGTGGTGCGCAATCGTTATCCCGTGTAGCAACGGATGCTGGAGATTGCATGTCGAGTTCGAGCTCAGGATGCACGCGGGGAGAAAGAGCGACTGTGTACGGTGGGAAAAATTGGGACGTGCGTGTGGTGTAGTTCGCGATCGATCGAGACGAGATAAGTCAACGCGAATTGGCTATATCGATTGCCAAGATCTACATCTACGTGGTCAAGCTACATTAATGATTACGCCAACGGAAGCAACATGTTGTCCGAGGCCTGTCAGCGAGAAATACGTTTTCTGCCGTCTTCGCTACGCGATACTTTAACGCCGTGTCGTATAAATTACGCAAATCACACTTCTTTATGATAAATATGATGCTGCACTCGAAATATTTTTTGATTGCTAATTTTTTAGATAGAAAAATAAAATAATTAGAGGATAAAAAAGAAGGAGAATAATTCTATTTAAATGCATATTTAAGTAAATATATTTATTTTTACTATATTAATTTATAATTAATTAATTGATTCGCACTTTTAACGTAAAGAGATATAAGTACATCAGAGCGTCAAGGAAACAAGTTTATTGCTAGCATCAATTATCATTGCACATGTGCGAAAGTGCGCCTTAGTTGCTCAATGAAGATTAAGATCGCATTCTTGAAATTTCTAACTCAATGAAAGCAGGCGAAAGGGGCGATGCTGCTGACGATAAAAGAGTAATTGCCTCGCTCGGCGCGAACGGTTTTCGGTCACGAAAGTATAGATCGCACTCGTCTGCATTGCGTCATCGATCTTCGTATTTATACAATTGATTTATACGCCTGCTTCTATCTCTGTTGCAGATCGATTCTAGCCCTGATGGTGCTGAGCACGGCCGGTGTATCGTCCTCTCATATGCCTGACAAGTATCCCATAGAAGTAAGTCTTCATAGAAATTACGTTTTCTGTTTTTACAAATCGTAACTGTCAAGTAGAAAAGTATTTTCATTAAATTAAATAAAAAAGAATGTTTCTCGTCGCAGTTTTTGTTCCAAGTCCTTCGCAAATTAAGTAACTTGTCCGAAAAACAATTAAATTAAACTTTGAAAAATCATTTCGTTTCATTAATAAATGCCAAGTGACAGAAGATTGATTCTGTAGTACAGTTCGATAACAAGCTAGTTATGCTACTTGTTGAGTGACTTCCACTCGGAGCCGATGTCACCGATTAAGCGTCAACAAATAATCACGTTTGCGACAAGCTCGATTCGATCTCGCGATCGGACCATCTCGGCGATCCCGCTCGCTTCACCGACGACAGTCCTCGTCGTCGCGCGCGATGCATATTAATTCGATCCACTTGCGGGAATTAATACGCAATTACATGGCCGCCGTACCGGGGCATTACGCCGAGTGAGGGTAATTAATTGACACCGAGAGGAGGTCCCTAAATTACGTGCAGAGAGGCGAGAGCTCGCCGGGAGCAAGGCCACGCGGCGCGCGACACGAGAACGAACGCAAACACAGTGCCCGCGTGCTGTGCAACCACTGCCACCGTCGCCACCGCCGCCGCAGCTTTATAATTACACTTAAGAGTACGTTTGTTCTGGAAAATGTTGCGGCATTACGGATGACACGAAAATAGACGGCTCGGCTTAGGAAACACCGACGCGTTCTGACTAGCTGGTTGAAGTTTGGAATGTTCCTGGAATGATTTTTTTTATTATTTGTCCCATTTCTAGCTTCGCGCAGAGTAACTCGTAAGTGCCACAAGCACAATACAAAATATTTCGATCAAATACACGCGTCGGAAGGCACCCTCATGCTCGATAAACCATCCTTCCGGACACTTTAAAAAATTCTATCCACGCCAAGAATTTGATTTGTTCCATTTGATTAGCTTCTAATCAAATTCTTGTCTTCTCCTCAACCTCAGATCGGTATATTATTAAAAATACATAAAATATCTTCTCTTTCTCTCCATGAAGTATTGTCGTTGCTTGAATTTATTCTCATTATTCCGTGTACTGTAAACGTCTCCTCATGTATATCCAACGTGAAGTAGGTACATATTTCCGTCCTTTGTACAGAGCCTGATGCTGTATAAGCGCCTGTGATTAACGTTCCGGAGTTAATGCCAGGCATTAAGGAAGTATTAGTCCGCTGCTCTTGGGGTTAACGACTTGCAAAAAAAAAAGGCAGCTAAGAGCGCTCTTCACTCGAATCCTAAATTCGTCGTTAACGATGGCGCGCGGTGTTTACGAAAAGCGTAATTGTCCGTTTTGTGTATTTTCCCCTTTCTTCTCTTATTCGTAAAATCTAAATCCTTATCGACTCGTTAAAAATAGAGGCGATCCTCGGCGACCGACGCATAGAGAGCCGACGCGAACGTCGCGAACGTGGGTGGAACAAAAGTTCGCATTTAAGAGATTTAACGGTTGTTATTCGTCTCGCGGCAGGTTCGGCGAAATCGACGATTTGTATTCTGCAGACGAGAGAGATATTTGCGCGTGTATAGCGCGTAAGGGAACGGGAGAGATGCGCGACTCTTCGCGTTTGATTAATTAGACGTGCGCGATCGAAGGGAGGATCGGACATGAAGTATGAAGCGCGGGAAATCTTTACGTGAGAACGTCGTGGCTTTCTTCCCGATGGAGCGACGCTACCTTAGCGCGAACTTCCGGCAGAAGCTAATGCAACGAGTAGCCCGTTGTGCGCGGAGATCGATCGAACGCCGTAAATTCAGCCGCCGTGTGTGCAATACGGTAATCGATCCTTCGTTTAATTAATCACGACAAGAGTACGTGATACCGAAACGCATACGATCTAATTGGAATCTCGTTCGCGGTAGCGATATTAATTACCGAACAAACAGTTTGTGCTCTATGATGCTGGCGTGTGATTAACAGGAACAGAATACCAGACGCGCGTTACTATCTGCCTCATCGTTTAATCACCATTCATACAGTTACCTGCCTCAATATTCTTTCTTTTGCATTATAATAGTTATCGTCGCTCTTTACATTCGCGCAATTATCTGACGAGTGATACGAAAAAGGCGATAAGTAAAAACTTGGAAACAAGATTCAAATAAATGTTTGTTAGATAAAATTCAACGTCTGAATATAATAGGTACTATATTAAAAAGATAACATAAATTAGATTATGTGAAAGATGTCGATAAGTGAAGTATATAGCTATATTTACATAAATTATTAAAATTAAAAAAAGATATATATATATATATATATATATGTATATATATATCTTAAATTTTCAGACAGAAATAAGCTTATTTGAGAACTATTCTTGTTTTTAAGATCTTTTTATTTGATTGTAAGTTATTTATAGAGTTAATGCTTGTTGAAGCACTCGATTAATAAAACGGAATTGATTTCTCCAGGTGTATCATATGTTACAAGAGAGAACGCAGTTTGGAATTGCCCATGACAACAGAGTAAGAGGGACTTGGGGTACATGGAGTTCATGGAGCGAGTGTTCCAGATCTTGCGGCACTGGTATCCAGTCCCAATTTCGGGAATGCGTCCCTCTACGGTGAGTGCATTTAATATAACAGATTAATAAAAATCCTGAAATCATTTTTAAAGTGTTGATTAAAAGAAACATATATATATATATATACATATATAACGTCAAATTTAGTATCAGATTTATAATGCTATGTTAAAATACATAAAAAAACGCATATAAAATATTTTAAAATAGCATTATGTAAATATGGAACGAAATATGTGTTATAAGTATTTAGTACATGCGATATATTTTTTTAAAGTAAAAGCGTAAAACAAAACGCGACGAGAGTTTGTTGAGGCCCAGTTTTATAATATATATGGTTAACGAAAAAATTAGGTTAACTAAAACTTGAAAGTTTACTAAAACACACTTTCAACATAAGCTTAGAGTCAAATAAACTAAAGGTTACGCGTACATTGATGGTTAAATCCTAATCAAACGTTATTAAACAATAAACTTTTTGATAATTTTTAACCTTTAGGTAACCATATATCGTGAAAATGAGTCTAAGCATGAGTATCAAAGCGTTATACGACCATATTAGCATCCAAATATCTTCACGCTCGATTAATGATTTCCACACCTTGCTTCACCTTTGTCCTCGCGGTGCGCGGGGGGGGGGGGCACGATCTTCCGCGCGAGGTCATGACGGGGATCGGTAATCGTCGGGCGTCGCGGCTCCATCGCGAGAATGCAAAGCACCTTGCGATAATGCGCAGTTGATCCTAACAATAATCACATGCCTCCGCGGTACCGTTAGGGCCTGGCGCAATTTGGATCATAGGTAAGCGTTCGCTATAGTCGAGTCGCTTGCATTTCGCGAGCGTAATCGCGCGGAACTTTGGAACTTCGTGCGCTACGCCTACTCCTCAATTCGTCGATTGATCGATCTCACCGCCTTATCCTCTTCGGTTCCTTCGTATGCACGGGAACATACAGGGTGCCTCGGATTCGTCGGTATCCTTCATTACGAAATGATCGTTTAACTCGTTTTCTTCAATAGCGCAGTAGGTATATGGATGGACAAGCGCAGTTTTTAGATGAAATATACGTTTTACATTTTTCAATGCAATAATGCACAGTATTTTTTGTTGTTCACTTATTTACGTTGAAACAAATACGTTAGTACAAATCTTTTTTAAAATATTTGGAAGTTTAGAGCCGGAGTAAAATTCTGAAAAAAACTGATTCACGAATGCATGTAACTTTTTTATGATGAAGATTGTGCGATATTGTGAAGCGTGGTTTTCACTTTGAACGGAACACATTTTTTCCTCTTTATACAGAATTTAAATAATACTTTTATAAATATTACTGTCATTCATTTCACGAATATGAAGCGCACGAAAAGAATTCGATTAAATTTTTTTATTGCATTTTTCAAAACTTCTTGACGTTGCATACATTGTGATATTTGTACAAATATTTATTCGATGCGCGCGCACAAGGGAGAAAAACGGAGAGAAAAAATTAATCACTTTACTTATTTATTATTTAAGTATGCTTTCTCCATGCATTTCCTTCTTGAGAATCCAGCCGTGAGCGAATTTTGTCGTCAGAATCGTTTGAGACTGTATATAAACTAACTTTAGAGTATCTGAAGAATAAAAGAATATATATAAAATTCAAGTAAAACATGAATAATTCAGAACTCACTTCACGTTGAAAGAGACTTTAGCGCACAAGTTCCGCACACCCTGTATGTCCTGTCTGGCTAGCTATAAAGCAGCGTGCAAATTACGGATCAGTAGCGTAAGAAGATTATACACCGGCAGGCCGACGACTCCTGCGAGCTTCTCCCGGGGGCAGAAACGTGTTGTTATCGCCACTGACATTTACACCTTCGTAACGCTACCGCGAGCCGTTACGTGACTCGCAATATGAATATCGCGACGAGTTCACTATACGAGTAAATACAAAGTAGTCAGAGTATCTCGCAGTTGCCGATCGCCTGATGAATTGAAAATTCGTTTTATCCTTGATGACAGTTATCCGAGATTTTTTATTAGTGACTAATTTAATATAAATAATTAAGGAATCTGGTCGAATCAATCATATTTTGCTTCGTCGTAATCATAATGAATTGAAATAGCGATTTTAATTATATAAGTTAATTATATAACATTATATAATAGTTAATTATTTATAGTTATATAACATTTTTAGATAGGATGGCAATTAAATAAAGTGCATCAAAGAGAAAAATTTTAATTCTCAAATCATCTTATTCAATTTTATATGTGAAACAAAAAAATGCGATATATTGAGTGATTGTCTCTCCATCTAGTAACAGATAATTACCGCGATGATTAAATAATACGCATAGAGAAATGTTTCTTTCATTCTTATCACGTGCGTGTTCTCTCTCCTTTTTCCCTTTGATCTTGAGATTGCATGTGGTGCTGTGCACTCCTAAAAAACGCGCTTAGTACTTGGCGATAAAAATCGAGATGCATCGCGCGCTACTCGCGCGAGTCAATGGCTGAGCTAATGCGAGCGATTCGTTCCAGGAGACTTTTGAGGAGGCGAAGTATTATCTCGGAGAACGGTACGAGCAATGCCAGGCCCATTTGTATCGGCACATACAAACGCTACCACACGTGCAATACGCAGGTAAGACCTTCAGCGCATTTATCGACAAAAATTATAGAGAAACTCTTGAAAAATCAAGACAGATCAGTTCTTAAATTAGAAGGAAACGTAATAGTTTTATAAAGCATCTAATTCTATACCCTAACTCTTATCGTACATGCGTCTAAAAAGTTTCGAAGATACATATTCGAGTGATATCTCTTGAACTGTCACCACGATGTAAAATTTGCTCGAGGATAAAATCTTGCTTGCCAAGCTCGTTTTCGTCGATCGCACTCAGTTCGCCGGTATCCGACGTAAGCGTAAATTTTGCGAAGAAAGAATCTGCAAGGCCGAAAAGAATATTCGCGTCCTCTCAGCGAAGAGATCCCGGGAATTTCAAGAAAACGGAGACGCTTTATATTTCCAGGGCGGTTTATTGCCGAGGCCTTGAACCGACAATTAGCCGCGCGACAGCTAGTCCTCGCTCTCGTCCGCATAAAATTCGCATACACGCTCGCGCGTGTGTCACCACTTCCATGATGCCGCACATAAATCAACGCGCGCGTCTATATCCACCTATATAGACCCGTGCGCGCTGCAAGGCACGCTCCTCGAGATTTTCCTCTCGCGACGGTGCGTCACGAGCCTCGAACAAATCATCGCGCGGGCCAATTAAGGATGCGCACGACGACGATTTATATCCCCGGAATGTGTGTGTGTGTGTGAGTGTATGCGCGTGGCGCGTTGTTTAAAATTTATACGAATAATCACCACCTGCGAGACTAAAGACCGCCGTGTAATGGATGGCTTTTGCCGGTATATCGAGGAGGAAGAGGAAGGGAGAAAGGGCTCGCCGGTGTTGATTAGCTCTTGATGGTAGTAAAGACCGCGCGCGCGAGAGATAAGATCTGTTTACATCTCGGCCCCCATCAGTGCCCGCGTTGACGTACCGGGTGTTCTTGACCCACAAGCACTCGTACTTTGCGTATTTCGCGTATCGTATCATTTTGAAGAGAGAACCGCTATTTCATTAAGAACACAAAGCGAAACGTTAAACAGGAGTTTTAGCGTAGCCTTTAAAATTGCTGAAATTGAAATTAAAATCGCGAAACAGCGAAATTGACTTGATGTTACCTAAAAGATGCGGCTTCGTTATCCGTTATTACCCGGGGAGAAAAACGACGCCCCGTGCGGAGGAATATTTATCTTCGGGCTCGATACTCGGGGACTACATTTCCGAGCTGCATTCGCGATTCGCAAACATGCCCGGGCAAAGTAACCACCGTTTCGTTCGCCGGCAATTAATAGTCTACCCGGAAATTGCAGAGCGGCCGCGTACATAGCGCACCACACGTGCCGGCATTCGCGTGTTTGCACGAATATACGGACTTCCTCTCGACGCACGCGGCGCGGCGGCTCGGAATGCGAGCTTTTTTTTCTGCCAGAGGCCGCAAATAATTTTACCTTTATTTACCCGCAGCGCTTTGGGAAAAGCGCGACGTGCCGTAAAAAGCGACACGATCGATCGCATCGGTTTTTTCCCTCCCTCCCTCCCTTCCTCCTACCCTTCCCCGCCCGAAGAAGCCGAACCGTGGCATCTGTTTCTCGATAGTAACGCCGTTCTCTTCGATCGATCCTCAATTATCGTAAGTTTAATTAATCCATTATGCGTTTGTGTGCAGGAATGCCCGAACTTCCCGGAAGACTTGCGGGCGGAACAGTGCGCCAAGTACAACGGTAGGAACTACAAGGGCCGCAGTTACGTCTGGGTTCCCTTTGTGGACGGTGAGTGAAATGATTTGTTAGGTTCTGATCATTATCTCATTATAATTATCTGGATTATTATTTCTAAGAAATATGTTCTTCAATTAGTAATAATTATTCCAAGAAGCATTTATTTTTCTGGAGAGCAAACAATACTAAATAATTAATACTAAAGCCTTAGTCAGAAAAAGTCTTAATTAATCTTTTGTGTCCACCTTCTAATTTCTAATATCATGGAAAATATAATTTAAATGTCTAAGAGATGATTTAAATGCGAAACGGCTAGAGCAAAAAAATCGGAATTAGGACCATTAATTAGTTTAACATTAACTATAACATTTTAATCGATTGTCTTATCATTACTGGATTAACTCCTAAATAATGAGGATCGATGCAGTTATCAATTAATTATCAATTGTAACATCTAATGATATTAAATTTTACGTGTATTAAATTTTTCTGGCGGAATTTCCTTCTTTGCGGCTGGCCTGATACGACTTTTATGAAGTAACAAAGAAGCGTCTTGCGATACTCAAACGAGCCAGTGACGTCGCTCGATCGGTGTTCGACCGATATAACGATGACGTAGCTAACGACCAGGCCTGGTGACCTAACTTCCGCCTGGCCTAATCGTGACTACTGTTGTTCCCCAGCGCCAAACTCCTGCGCGCTCAATTGCCGTGCAGTCGGCGAGCGTTTTTACGCAACGCTTGAACCGGCAGTAATGGACGGCACGCCCTGCGATGCTCCGAATCTTCGCGGACGCAGCGGCGGCAGCGGCGGTGGTGGCGGCGGCGGCAGGATTTCAACGGAACGCAATGGCGAACGATGGCTATGCGTCGCCGGACAATGCAAGGTATGAATAGCGCGAGCGTTAGGCGAGAGAACGATGCCGGAAATTAATGACCGACACCGGGCCGGCCGGCGCGATACGATACGATCAATCGATGAGATCGCTATTGACCCGTGTTTTGGGCCCTTCGCCGCGCGCGACGACCCTCTCTCGTTCCTTTCTCCTGTCGATATTGGGGTTCATCGTACGCCCGGTCCAATTCGGTCAGATGCATTTATCAATCAACAATCGGGGCTCTCCGATTTCATCGCGGCTCCAGCAGTATGGAATGAACACGTGTTTCCCCGTTTTTCTTCTCCCAAGATGAATCCATTGTCGGAGTTTTTTTCTAACAGAAATAACAAAATTTTTAGAGAACTAACTCTTAAATTGAACAAAAATTAAGAAAACTTTTTGTAAGTCTAACCATAATAATCTTAATTATTATAATAATAAATCTATCTCGAGAGGAAAAGATATTGTGAGAAATGCAATTTCTTGAGAGTAAAAGACTCGACAAAATTGAGGAGAGTCCCGTGTGGATCTTCTAAATGGATTAAACGCAGCGATGCCGAAAATTCGTATATTTGCCATGCAGCCTGTAGGATGCGACGGGGTGGTGGGCTCCGGTGCGACGATGGACGCCTGCGGCGTGTGCGGTGGCCAAGGCAGAGGGTGCAGATTGTACGAGGGTATCTTCATGGAGCCGATTCTGTCCAAGGGTCACCAGCAGGTGACTACGATTCCGAAGGGCGCCATGTCGCTTAACATTTCCGAGCTCCGATTCAGCAGTAATTTTCTAGGTAGCATTGACGATTTATCGAATTAAAGTGATTCTGTCTTTTGCAAATTAACATTAAGTAATTAACATTTTATAATTGCCTGACATTAGACTATTGAAAACAATCGTATCAGCAGAAAATCGATGAATAGCCACTGCGAATAATCGTGGGTATTTTTATCACTTCTGATAATTTAGTAAAAGTAATTTATTTACGAGCAATTTAGAGCGCCACAATAATAATTTAATCAAAGCACTGCAGAGGCGAATAATTAAGCGGCGTTTTTACGCGGCGATATACGCAACGGTGGTATGCCTGGTTAACAAACGATCGATCTACTCGCAGCGTTGAGAGACAGTAACGGCAGTTACATCCTAAACGGACCGTGGTCTTACAGTCCCAGTGGTACTTATAAAGCGGCTGGTACGACATTAACATACCAGAGGGGCGATAGGAACCGTATGGAGTGTATCTTGGCGACCGGACCGTTGAACGAGTCTCTGCATTTAGAGGTACTATCCGCGTTATCGTCACTTTTCGTTAATCGTATCAGGAACAGAGATTTTCTTTCATTACACGAATAATTCGAGCTACAATTTACGAATGAATTTTTTACTCACGGATGCTTGCTGTCTCTCTAATTTTGTTCGCCTTACTCTCTCTTACGTTATAACACCGTCAAACTATAATTTGAAAATAAAACACACAATTTTTTCACGTATTTGACTTAATTATTATTTTTTGCATTTGTATTGTCAATTTTCAGTAATGCGTTCTAATCTGCGCGTTTAAACAAATTCAGTCTCACTGCTAATATCATTATTCGCGCATTATCATAGATTTTATCCGTGGAATTAAATCCAGGCGTTCTGTACAAGTACATGCTGCCTATGAAAGAAGTGCCGGACGATAAAGCGGTGATTGCACCGCCGCTGCTTGTCGCAGGTAATTGCTTCATTGCCAATCAATTATGTACAATTAAAAAAAACCGATTATAGCCCATAAACCATGTTTTATTCGTCTTCGTAGGAGCAAGTGATCGAGGCAACGAGATACCTAGTCCAGATACCCACGTGACCGTGCGAGTACCCGTTACAAGAATGTAAATACATACTTAAAACAAGCGACATCATTTTTTTTTTAAGTATCGGCAGAACAGTTTTCAAAGTTATTCCTCTCCCATAAAACGTTAAAATTACAGATTGCATGTATGTAATTCGTTCCCACAGGGTTTAATTATCTTGAACGTTTTTATCCGCTTCGATACGGTTTCCCCCGTAATTTTTAATCTTTAATTTTCACTCTTATCTCCACCGTTCGATCGTTGTGACACTTCTGAAATACATCTCGGAGCGAGCCTCTCACGCGGCGTTCGCTCATCGGCTCGGATTCCGCCGACGGACTTCCCCCTTTGTGCGGCACAGGAGGAATCTACGTGCGCGCGTACGAGAGAACTTCTCGCGCGGAGAGTCGAGCCGCGCGCGCGATTTGTCTTCGTTCGTACAACTCGTTGCTCTCTGTCTTCCAGATCGGATCGGCGGGGCGATTTATCTTCGACGCGTCGCGATCGCGATCCGCGCGCGCGCGACGGCGGACGGAAGGAAGAGATGAAGCATCCACCGACCACGGTGATGGCGGGCGATCAGCCAAAGTCAAAGGCGACGAGAAGGAAGAAGAGGAGGAAGTTCGCTTGGAAAATAGTCGGCCTTTCTCCATGCTCGAAGGAATGCGGGGGAGGTAAGAAGATGATGCCTCGATAATTAATCGCATGTCATATGATACTGAGAGGTGTTGCTCGTAACTGGGATTAGAAAAATTTCACCAGCGACTATTTCAGAGATTTGGAGATAAGTAAAATCACTACTTTAACAATATTATATCATTTCTTTTTATAGTCTTGGTAATATTTTTTTAATACTTTATGTAATAAAAATATTTCTGAAAAACATTCTAAATAGAATTTATAATATAGTGAGATAAATTTTTTATCTTGTAGCAATACTATATTACGAAACTAAAAAATGAGATTTTGAATTTTTACAGTGTCATACATATACTTATTCATAAAGTAAAGTAATTTAAATATCGATTATTGTTAGTTCAATGTGTTTGGAAAATAATGTGCTTTCAATAAGATATTTCTTTCGAGATTTTAATATTCAATATCGAAACGTGAGTTAATTGCATCGAATTGCGAATGATAAATGTTTCAATACGTGTTGTTTAACTTTTGGAATGTACAATATTATAATTTCAACGTTTGAGATCGATGAGTTTGCGTTAATTTCCAATATTGTGTAATACATTTTCGCGTATCTCTCGTATATTTTAGGGAAAATGATATCGCGGCGTTCGAGAAATAAATGAATATTAACGAATAAATATTACTAATGTACGCGGTGTACATTCTAAATTGCGCGCGATTAAATATTTGTGCTTATACAACGCAATGGTCTAATCGATTACCGTTTAAAGCTTGCCGATAAAATTAACAGCTATACCGCATGAGTTTCGATGAATAAGCACATCTCTCACGCTAAAAATGAATTTATTTACAATATGCTTAATTATTTCTTGCGCGATTATCTTATTAGCTAATAAAATATATTGTGAAATATAAGTTGGACGTATAATATTAATTGAACATATAATAAAATCAAACGACACTGTTTGATATAAAAAAGACAATTTCGAGTCTGTCGCGAGATACCGATTAAACGAACAATTAAGTAAAAAGCGCCTAGATAATTAAAGGTTATTAGGAAAACGACTTTGTCTAGACGTCTCTGAGGCGTTGCGTGGGAAGAGTAGCACGAGATATGTTTTGTTTCGGTACAATTAGACACATTCTAGCACGACAGTAAAAAATTTCAGATATTTTCGATCTTTCTGTATATTTAGAATATTAAAAAAATTGTTGTGCTTTGTGCAGTAATTGGAATAATCTTGGAATTATTTTTGTTTAAATTTTTCTAAATCCAATGAGATAAGCATAAAAATAAGTAATTGAAGTTAAATAAGAGTAAAATTGAGAAACGTAGAGGTCCGCAAAGATGTGCATAGATATGTAGCGTGATACTTTTTGAGATACCAACCGGAAATTGTCACTGACTTTCTAGACATCTGAACATTGCACGCGACAGCATCCGATATCTGTCGCTGGAATATTCTAATTTAAATTGACGTGATACGGGCGGAAAGCGACGAATACGGAGAAAAGGAACGCGATGGTCACGTCGATCATAATACAAAGTGTCGCACTTCGTTTCATTCGTAGAACTCTTTAACTAACTTGAGACAGAATTTTCCTCAATAAAATTGTTGGTACGCCAACGCTGGTCTAAGTTATAAAGCGACGGAAAATGAGTTATTGTTTTACTGTCTAAGCCGCAGACATAATTTTATTCCTCGTTCAAAATTTCAAGGAGATATTATTATACTTTAATGGAATTCCAATATTATTTAACGATACTTTTTCATTCAATATGAAAAGATTTTGAAGAGAGTTGCCGTCAAGCCAATTTTTCACTGAGAAAAATTAGACGAATCAAATTAATCGAAGATGTAATAAAAGATCCGAAACAAAGTCAAATCTTTTTGCAACTCGTTGCATCTTGCAGGTGTACGAACGACGATCTTAAAGTGCATTCGCGAGATCAATCAGACACCTGTCAACGACAAACGTTGTCGCAATGTGGAAAAACCGAAGCATCCTCCTCCGCTGGGATGCAACGATCATCCTTGCGCCGCCAGGTATACTTCAATATATTTCTTCTGTAACGATCCTTCTCCGAATTGTTTCTTGGTCATCGCGTTTCCTTTCAATTAGATTCTTTGATACCGTCAAACTCATTTTTTACATATTAAATTTTTAAAAGATTTTCTAAAGCTTACAGGCTTTAGTGATATTTTGTTGAGGCTAAACGACTTCGCGAGTTCAAGGAACGGCCGATTGGAAACGTGATGAACTCCTTGTCCCCTGCAGGAAATCTGTTTTTCGCAGACAAGCTTGATCTCGTATATTTCGATGAACCGGAAAATGTTGTCAGGTGGCGAGCCGAACCGTGGAGCGAGTGCTCGGTTTCCTGCGGGGTCGGCACCAGGACGCGAAAACTCGAGTGCATCCAGGAGCTGAACGCGAGGCTGACAATGCGCGTTGCCGCTGGTGCGTGCATGCAACCGCCAGATCTGAGTACCACGGAAACCTGCACTCGACCGGCGTGTCCCAACGTGGGTCCGGAATTGAGACGCATGTCCTCGCAGCACGACGTGCCCAGATGGGACGTGGGCGCTTGGGGCCCGGTGAGTCATTAATCTGTTAAATGCCTTCATGCTTTCATTGTTAAGCAGCTACTTTCAACGGTGTAGGAAGTAGGACAGGAAATCGTTGGGAATCCAAAGTGAGAAATCAGCTGGCGCATAGGAAATAGTCAACAGGAAACGCCGCCAGTATTATTTTTATTTATCGGAAACAATTCGTGTGAATTGTAGTGTCTCGATAAGTAGCAGAAATAATTAGAAAATTCGTAAAAAGAATGTAAGCGAACAACAGTTGTCAATTTAGGGGAATAATTGATTAAAAAAGCCGAATTTGCCGTAAATGGAAAATATGAATTTCCAATTATTAACTCTTCTACAGATAGTTCATGTTTCTTACAACTCTTGGTTCAGTGTACAGCAAATTTATAGAACTGTTCGCTGCTAAAATTAATTTTAATTGAATAATATATTGCGTCTATTGAGTCTTCTATCGCATTTCAGTGTTCGGCGACATGCGGCCGTGGAATTCGAAATCGAACGGTGACGTGTATAACATCCGGGCAGTCTTGTTCGTTAGCCAATAAGCCGGAATCTCAAAAAGCGTGCGAGATAGCGGCTTGTAATGCGGCGACAGACGCGGAACATCACGCGCCCTGGCTGTACTCGGAATGGTCTTCAAAGGTATAACACGTCGCCCATTTCTTTGTGACAGTTTATGTAAAAAAGAAGGAATAATTAATTTTATTTCTCGACTTCGAGGTAAAATTGGTATTTGTCACTGTTGCAGTGCTCTGCAGAATGTGGAAATGGCGTGAGGATCAGACGAGTGGCGTGCGCCGACGGTAGCGAGTTATTCTGCAATCCCAAAGAGAGACCGGACACGGAGATGCATTGTTTCGAACGAGGGACGAACTGCGATCGAGCCAAGTGGTTCGCCAGTCCATGGACTTCCGTTAGTACAAGCGCGTTACATAGAGAATAAAACTTCATGGCTACGCGTAAAACTAACTGCACTAATTCTTTACACAAATCTAGTTTTAATTTCGAGACACAATTTCTAATTACAAGGAAAAATTATTATTTACACCCTAATTTAATTTTAAACGGACTTTTTACAATAGATTTGAGAAAAAAAATTATTAAAACGCCCTTACCTTATTTTAATTATTATGTTGCATTTTTTATAATTAATGACGATATATAATTTTTTTTTAACTTTTGTTTTAGTGTTCTGTTTCGTGTGGCGTTGGCGTCCAATATCGAGACATCGCTTGCATAACTAGAACGAATAACGAATTTATCGTACTACCCGCAAAAAATTGCAGCGATCTCAAACCAGCGACTGAGCAAGCCTGCAGAATGTCCGCGTGTTCGCCGGAATGGTTTACCTCCGATTGGTCGACGGTAAAGTATCGTAAATACATAATAAATTATATAAAGGAGACTTTTATCGGGAATTTTTTCCTTGAATCTTTTGCATTTCGGATGTGTGTGTATGCCCCCCCCCCCCTCGCGATTTCATTTTTGTATGTCCTATTTTAGTGTTCCGCAACATGTGGGGCCGGATTGCAAACACGGCTTGTACGGTGCATCGTCGAGGGTATTAGCAGCACTAATTGCTCAGAAATCGGCAAACCAAGTGCGGAGCAACGATGTAACGTGGAGCCATGCAAAAAGGAAGTGCCAGTGGCGAGCAAACCGCCGAAAAGTAAAAAAAAATACTCTCTTCTATAACTTATATCTCTTATAACTCATTTTTTCCCTCAAACTTTCGCGAGTTTTAGCGATTTTTGAAAAATTTCTCGACAGCTCGATAATTACGAGATATAAGCCACTTAATAATTATATCCGATGTGATGTGTTAGATACTTGACAGACATATTTTAACGTTATGTTTCAGAGGTGCACGAATCGTCCGAGTGCGTGGACAAGTATCCGAATTGCGTGTTAGTAGTAAAAAATGGTTTATGCCGAATCAAATATTATAAGCATTCGTGTTGCCAGTGCCGCCAGTAGCCCGGGACAACAGCTTTGCGCTCATCCGCAATTTTGCGACCGCAGCTAGCGCGAGCGTGAACGTTGAATAAGATACAGATATTATATCGGAAAGGGCAAATTATGCCGAGTGTAAGACTGCTATAAAGAGAGATGACCACGTATATATAATTTTATTTATATTAAGCGACGCGACATCGGATCACACGTGTCTTAGTCGTGCTTTCTTCTGCCGAATGTAGCATAATTCTCGCGGAGCGGCAGAATTCTCTTCTCTTCTCTTCCTATCAATGAATGCTCAGAACGAGGCGTTTGATTCTTCTCGACAGTTCCACTGCGAATATTAGAATAAATTTTCGAATAAAGCAATTCAAAATAAAATAACCGAACGAGAGATAAATAAAACAGCAGGAAGGGACGATATGACATATATACGAGTGTATATAATTAAAGAAAGAAATTAAGATACCCTTTTATCTATGCGGATTAAGAATGACATTTTTTTCTGCGAGGGGGGACAGTTCATTCTCAAAGACTCCTGATCTTTCCGAGAAACCGTGAAGGGGTTTCGTGTGCAATAAATATATCTCAACGTAGATACACACGTGCGTTTATGCGTATGGCATATGGACAGGTTGTTTACATCGCGTATGCGTGCGAGTCGATATCTGTGTTATCATCGCAGACAGATCCGTAATTTTATCGATTTGGGGTAACGGCGCCTATTCAAGTACACCTTCGACCCTGGCTTTTTTATATGGATATTGAAGCACATGCGATTCTCTTGTTCTGTATACGTCGTTATATATCGAGTAAACTTATTCGGATAAGCGTGATAATATAATATACAGTAACGTAACTGAATATACGCTTGTATATGTAGAATATATGAAGTCGTTAGATGATAAATATATGTATTATTGTATATTTCGATGTCGAGACGAAAAAAGTCTTCGCTACCATATCGCTATCATGTATTAATTCGATGTTGGACTCGCATATCATTGCGCCGTTGAGAACAGAGCTGTTCAGATTAATTAATTATTTGTGTCAATTGCATTTTTTTGGTTCTGCCAACTCCAAGGAATTATTCAGATGCTTTTTATCGGATAGTATTCTAATGTAGCCTGCGTCTCGCTCAGATTTTCTATTTTTACAGCAATTACAAGTTATTTACACAAAATTTTTATTTGTTCATTTTTTGTTATCAACTGCTCATCGTTTTATTCGATTTTATTGCACATCAGGTAAGTGCGTTTTATAATTTATTTATTTTCTTCTCTTGACGATTTGTTCAATACGTTCGCGTTATCAACATTTTCCAAATTATGTTTTATATTTATAAATTTACTGTATAAATCTCTTTTATATAAATGCTGATAACGAGGATATTGCAATGTCAGTATTTTTTTAATGAATATGAAGATTTATATTTCAACAAATGTGTTAACTCTATATTTTATTTAAATTAACAATTATGTTCGCTTTTTTCACACTCTTATTTCATAACATTACATTTTTATTTCTTTCATTATACATCTCTATTTATTATTACGAGTTTTTTTTATCTTTTATATACAAATTATATTTCAAATATAAAAGGATTTTAACAGAGATTAAGTTGATAAAGTTCGGTTGAATATTTTAGAAAAACTGTGTGTAAAAGTTCTTTGACGAATCATTATACATTATTATATTACGAAATTTGTCAGTTTCAACTACGAAGGCTTCCTTGATTGAATGTTAATTGTAAGTGTCGTGTTTTATAATCGAAAAAAAATTGGTGGCATGTAAGAATATAACGACATTGTGTGTGATGAGTCTATATGATTTCTAAACGTTATTGAATAATAAAATTTAGACAATGCTAAAATAACAGGCTACTAGAAAAATTGAAGAAATGCTCTTGCGAATGTATAAAAGCGGGTGTTAATTGATAGTAATTGTCAAGTGTTAAGTGTCAATGGCTGTGATATAATCTATGTCCGACTAAATCGTCATTATTAACTTCATTTTTATTGAAGGTTGCGATACAATTAAAACTAGAAAATTACATTAATTTATACTTCAACGCAAAACTGCAATGTTGTAAAAAATTCTCTCTCTAAAATTTTCTATAAATATTTAAGAAATTAGGTAAGAAATCTCGAACAGTTATAGAATTAAAGACTTGATCTGCGTTTCTTATAAAAACAAAAGCAAAAGCGAATAATAATTTTGTTTTAGAAACAGATAAATTTTAATCAATTTTATAAAAATTCTACGAAAAAAAAAATTATGGAAAAATATTATTTGTTATCAGATTTGTTAATTGGTTGATATAACGATTGGTTAAATTATTGATTAAATAAGTACTTGATTACAATAAGTATTTTCCAACATATACGTTTTAGCGTGAGTTTAGAAATTATTTTCAATGTGCGAAGAAGGAATTTATTTTTGGGATAGTGCTGTATAATATGAATATTAATAAGTACGAAGGTGCACAATTAATAGGCACCATCGTGATCCTTTATCGAGACAAAACGTCCAATAATGTTTCATAATTATGTGCTCTGTGTCGTCGCAAACCTATGTATTAATCGCGTAGCTCGACTATCGCGAGTGTGATCTCGTCAAGGACTGTGATACAATCGTAGTCTGCAGGAATGAAGTACAACGAACGATAACGAATAGTTAATGATCAGTACAATAGACCGGCTGCTAAGAGAAACCAAAATCGTCTGGCGCTTTGTAAAATTGCTTCCGTGTCACTCCGTAGTGTGTAATAAAATTCTTAATCAAAAACAATCGTTATCGACAATCACATTACGATCGCTATATTCCTAATCAATCGCGATAAAATTATACGATAGGTATTGCAAACGAAAGTTATTGCTTTCAAACAGGAAGTGTGAAATTCGGATTTTATAAACGTTGCGATAAAAAATTAAGTTTTTTTTATATTCCTCTTTATTTCCATTTGTAATTAACAATGAAAAGTAAGAATCTATGTATATCATTTAAAAAACAAATGAAATTTAATTGGATAACCAAAATTTGTCGTATATATTATATTTTTAAGATATATTAATTGATTGAAGATTATTAATAAGATAAATTTAAAATTGAATAAAATTTGTGATTGTCTTATTGTCTAATTACAATCGAAACAGCAAAGTGTTTTTTAAGTTGATTATCCGATTATCTGGCCATTTGTCAGTTATATCGAGACTCACTTTGCCAATTGTTTTCTCGCCCGTGTTAACATCAGTATCTTTTTGTATAAAAAATCTATCCCTGTACAAAGTAATAAGCAGAAAATCAGAGCTATTCGAATTTAATTTGAGCGTATTTAATTCGCAAGGAAATGACACACGATCAATGAAAAACAACAAGAAAAAACGGCATTTTTCTTTCCAATCTTCTGATTAAATCAATATCCGAAATCATGTAAATATTTAATTATTATGTGCTAGTTTATAACAAATGCATAATTGTCTTTACATTGAAGAATGAAGAATCGCGCAATTTTCAATTTTCTGTAGTTTCCTCTTCCACAATATTAGTTATATGGTAATGCATATAAACGATATATGAGCGATATTTCATGAAAAATCTCATAAATTACATAATTAACGTGAAACGAATTGCGAGAGAAACAGACTGATAAGCATATATTATATATATGTGTTACTTGTGTTCCACATAATGTATAATTATATATGTTTGACGTTCGAGCATTTTTAATCGTTAGATATTAATAAAGCGAAAGTCAGTAAACACCTGTCTTTGCTCAAAAAAAAAAATTGAAACGACGAATTAGATGGATATTAACAGACTAACTGGAAGTAAAATTTTCGTGTTATTAACTACTATTAGTATTAAATATCTATTATAAAGTGTCTTTTAAATATAAAATATATAATGGATGGTGCACACAATATAGGAAACATGATATCGAATAAAGATACAATATATACATATATGTATATATTTAAAAATATAATATCATCATAATTTTCATAACAAGAATAAAACAGTATTTTTTTATAATACTTTTCTGCTACGTTTTTAATTCAGTTTATATCAAAAGATAAAATAAAGAATTTTTAATGTATTGACAATGTGATTGAATCGTCTTAATTAAACTATTTAACAAAACTAATTAGTCATGTCTAAGACTAGCCAAGTTACTTTCAAATTACATAACGCTTAAACGAATTTTTGCGTATCTGTGCCGCGTATAATTAGACAGATTGGTATGTGAGAAGTAGACACAGAGGAAAGGAAAGAGAAGCAATCTTCGATCTAGACCAAGTTATAATTCAAAATTAGCTTTTATTCCTTACATTTCATTACACTAATGTAAAATTTTACGCTGTATATAAAATAATTTATTTAAAAAAAACAATATATTCAATGATATATAAATACCACCATTACTTTTTAGTTCGATCGTCTATGTCTTTTTTAAGTTTGGCAAAGCGCTTTATTAGTTAAGTATCCGATTTCACCAACAGCCTTAAAAATTCACTTTATTTAGCAATTGCCTGTTTCTACTTATTAAAATTTAATTACAACATAGATCAGAAAGAAATATGTCCTTTACAACTGTAATTATGATACATATGGAAATAATTTAGTTTGATGATACAAATTATTTGTATCAATAAAGCTAAGTCTGAATATTTATTTTTTTTTAAACGGTAATTAAAAGCGGCTGTACGAAGTATGGATACTTAGCTCTTCACCAAATAAAATGTATAATATAATTTCTGGCAGTGTGTTAGAAATATATATAAACTTTTAATTTTATATAAACTTATAGGCACTATATGAAATTCTTAAATATTCTATATGAGCGATATTTTTATTATAAAGGATGAAAAATGTTGGTAAATACTATTAAAATATAAATTTGCATTGAAAATGCCTTGTTCCAAATTAACTCTAATTCAGCAGTTAAACTGCTAAAATGTCACGAAATGTCGTTAAAACTGTAACATAAAACAGCATTTGACAATTTTACAAAATCCACATTTTATTTGATATGTTGAGCACAAAAATATCTTATCTTTACGTTAGCTAAGATTTTTATTAAATAATGCATAGCATTGCGAGGTAAGATGAAGCAAAATACAAGATTCAAACTGGATCTTCATGTATTTGTAGTAAATAATCTAGATACTATACTTTGACGATGTTGCCGCCAATGATTAATAACGCTCATTGTTCAGACTGACGCCCTTTCCCGTCCATCTCTCTTTTAAATCTACCTTCAGGCCCAGATCCCTCAACGCGGCTTTCGCGTTATCCTCTAATTTCGGACCATGTAAACGTACCGTCTCTCGTAGTATTTCTTCAACACCGTACATCAAGAACTCCTTAGATTCGGATTTGTTTCGCACCGACATGTTTCTGATCGCCCAAGAGGCTTGCTTTAAAATGTTTACATTATTAGGATAAGCCTTCATAGCGTCTACGATCACTTGGGCCGCGCCGCAATCGTAGAATACACCAGAATTCGAAGTGCTTCGTAAAGATAACGCCGATATGCAACTCAATCCCGCAGTTACGACGTTCTCCGATCTCTGTTAAATTTTAATATAACAACATTTAACGTATTTTTTTATATAATAAAGAAATTTTTTTAAATTTTATTGTAAAAAATATTGTTTTCTTTGTCGCATGTAAACTTACTTTCATTCTACTGATAACGGATACGATTAAAGGAGCGCATCCGGAAGTGATGATGTGAGACTTTACATTGTCGTTACCCGCGAGCGCTTTGAGCAACTTCAAAGCCTGCCAATTTAATTTTTCGGAATCTGGATATTCAGTCATTATATCCAAAATGAATTTCAATCCCCCGGCATCCTCTACTTCCTGACAGAATTCATTTCGGACAACCAACGCGGCCAATGTGATCATTAGGTCGCCTATGACCTTCGTGTCCTTTTTAAATCCTGTTTGAAACAAATGTATTTCGTAACAATGTAAAATTGCAATAAAATATATTAATTAATTAATTATAGCAGAATATAACAATATATAATAATTCTATTGCAAAGAATAATCCAAATGTTTGATAAAATATCATTAAACGATAATTAACTAATCCCAGATTAATTGTAAAACTATTTTAATATACTTTTCAACAATCCCGTGATGACGTCGAGAGCACCCTTTGCCATGACAGTCGCATGTTCGTGTGCCTTTCCGTACTCGTGCCTAATATCATCGTCCAGCACCAACGCTCTGATTACCGAACATGCATCCTTGATCTCTTGGGAGTCCACATCTGCGCGCACCAATATCTTCTTCAATTTCTCAAAGATATTGGTGTCGAAGATCTTTTGCCTATTTAATTCATGCTTTATGCAGCATTCTCGTATCCAACGCAGCAGATATTGTAACGTTACCGTGTCGCAATGTCCCTGCAAAATCCTGATAAACCAAATTTTTCTCTATCACAATTTTGTTCCTCCCTATTTTTACATATAAATTTCAGAGATAATCGTCGGAAAAAAAATATCGTAAAACAATCAGAATCTCAAATAAGCTGTTTTCTTTTTCTGTAAATTGATATCTTTGCCGAAATAAATCCTTACTCTATTTGCAACGCAACCCCTTCGTCATCCAGCAAGTCCGGATAGCCGGACATTAATGACGTGATTGTCTCTAGGGTCGACTTAAGTATCACGTGATTCTTCTTGCAATCTTTCAGGAGATCGATCAGAATGTTGTAACATTTGCGTTTGCCCGCGAAAACCCTGTGTGCGATGTCCTTATCCAACTCGGCTCGCAGTTCTTGCAACGTCTCCGGCACGCATTCGTAACTCTTGTCGTTCACAGCGCACGTCAGCCGCTCCAAGCATGCCACTATCTGCTTATATTTGTCCTCAAGAACTAAATCTGTGACGATGTTGCTCAGATCAATCCCCTGCACGAGATAAACGCCGTCCGTGAATTATATCGCAATGACAATCGGAATACGAAGCGTTTTTCCCCGACGCGAGAAGTCCTAATTGACTCATCTCATAAATATTTAATCTCTAAATACAATTTAATACATTTACATAAAAAAAATTGATATTTATTTAAATAAATATAATTATAGTGTCACTTTTATGAGGGATTTCTTTCAATAGTCGTTCATTCGTAATAAAGCGTGTAGTGTCGACGGAATTTTTTGTACTTTTACGTGAATTTCAATTCTTTTTATTTTAGAGAAAAGGTTTTCTTTTCTTCTTGTGTGAATGTCATTATAAATGTTACGGTACGATTCGAGAAACAGATCGATCTCTTAAGATAGAGTATAGACGATAGTGACACGAGTGCTCCAAAACTAAAAGCGTCAAGAAATGCGGCAGAAGCGCGTAACAGATTTTATTTTTGCACTGCATCTTTTAAATATTCTCTAAAACTTTACTTATAATAACAATCATAGGATATTATCTATTATTAGTCAAAAGAATGTAATAAATGTATTGAAAAGTTTGTTGTTATTATTAATGATAAAATTAAACCTAAAATTTTAAAAAATAAGATAATAAAATGCAAAAAAATAATGATAAAAAATAATAATAATGTTTGAGATATAATTTTTATCCCTAATACTGTTAACTGTTTTATTTCACGTAATATTGCGCGTTTTATATTTATTTCTAACGGCAATGACGAAAATTCTTGATGACTTGTTCGAGACTGACTCATGTAATTGAACGCCTAAGCAGAACACTTTCGATTAATCACCACGAGTTAACTTTTTATACAAATTCTATTTAAAGCCTCCCAACATTTGAAATAATTCCGCAAACTTTGTCATTTTTATTCCTGATAAATTATATATTCGTACGTGTTTAGTGTAAAATTGCGTTTTAAATCCCAACAACCAAATCGGCGCACAGTTTATAGAACCGAAAAATGCATTTATTTCAAAATTTACATAAAAATATTAGGAAACATGATTCTGTTTTGACAGAATAAAGACTTCTTTCTTTCTTACATATGTGACATGTACACTGCGTACGTATATGTATATATAATATATATTCTTTGTTTTCCAGATAAACATCTAAATTTTTCTGAGATAATTCGTAATTTGAAACCTCGCTTTCTGTTTTTTTTTTAATTCCAAAAGTGAAAATTTCGTGAAGGATGAATCACATGGTACGAGAAAGGAGCAAAAAGGACATTTCTCTGATCGACAAGCGGTGTAAACAAAGGGATGCGACAGTGAGTACATACTTTCATTTCGTAGCATTTGACAGCGTCCTCGATTGCCTCCTCCTCGGTCAAACACAGGCCTTCCATCAACTCCCTGATCTCCTCATTGTAGATCTCCTGGGTAATTGTCGTGCTCATGATAATGCGGTTTCCTCACTGCGATGCTCCGTTTTGCTATATAAGGAAATGAAAGCCGTGCGAGACACGCGAGCGAGGGCGAGCGTGCACACTGGCTCGTCCATGTGATAAGAAAGAGAGCGGGACCTGTCAACGCGATCGTGCGTTCGCAAACTCAGACCGGCCATGCCGTCGTCATTCGCGCCACCATAAAGCCAGTATTCATATAGTTGTATTTCCACCGACGAGATACTCTTAAAGACCGACAGTCCTGGATAAATTTTCATGCCAGCCAATGGGCCCGGTGGGCCCGGAGGTAATTGCAGAGTGTCGATGTTATCGATTTTTGACATAAATTTGCGATTTATTTAAATAATACATTATTAAGATCATGATTTTTATCGTATAAATGCTTTATAAATAAATATAAATACTTATAATATCAAATATATTGCTGCAAAATTACATTTTTTTTCCAACTGTTTTACCATCTCTCTGGATAATTAAACACGTATGGTAAATATAAAAATGCAATTTTAAATAAAATTAACTATTAGCAATAGTTATAATACAGATGAATTACAATGTACATGTCTAAAAAACATTGATCTAACAATAAATCATTAAATTAATATTATTGACTAATTGCTTAAATTTTAGCAATTACTAAACATGCCACGCTAACATGACACGCTAAGAGTGTTGGTCTTTAATAGTACCTCGTCGGTGCTTTCGCACAATCAAGCGTTCCGCGATTACTCGACCGATTCAAATTATCCAATTCAAAGTCGCTGGTTGGCCAATTTGAATTGCCCGCGTACGGCAGCGCCATGACAGAGATCTCGCCGCTCGCGTCGGAGCGACTCTACACCGCGCGCGTATACCGTGGTGTGATACCGCAATTGTATCGTACCGTATTATACTGAAAGTCGAGGTGGTATTTTGCCGCGTTCCCGAGCGAGGATTCGCGTCCCGATCTGACAGTTTTATCGAAATGACACGTAGATCACTAGCGTGATAACCTGCAACTCCGGTCCACAAGTCTGCCATGTGAGTATTGACCGTGAACGATCTCTCGCCCGTGCTTGGTTTGGTGGTTAAAATTCATCATCATTGACGTCTCCCTGTCGACCGTTCGCGGAACGTGTCGGCGACCGAGGCACGCTCTCTTTTGCAACACGTTGATTATCGGCGGTCTACGTCGATCTCTCTCGCGCGGCATCCTCGCGTCGTTTCATTCGTGATTTTTGTGAAATTGATATCGCGAGCATACACTGAACTGTACATCACTGATCGGGATTGTAGCATAGCGAAAGATGTGGAAAGGGAGGTGAAAGGGGAAGTGAGTGAGAGATAGAGAAAGACAGAAAGAGAGAGAGAGAGAGAGAAATGTGTGTGAATGTATGTATGTATTTCATTATCGCATGCATACAGTACGTACGTGAAACTCGTTTCTTTGTCGAGTCCTATTCATAAATTGATCGCTTCCGTCTGACTTTTTAGCCGTTTATGTTTTTTATTCGACTATTATACGCTTTGTGACGAAAATCAAGCACTGTATCGTGTCACAATAAACGTTGCACCTAGTGCTTTCTCATACTTTCCATAAAAACCAAGGAGCTAATTCATATTTTTTGATATCGTTTTATCTCAAAGAGTGTGATTTATTTTATAAGATACGTCCAATATTTTTTTCATATACAATTAATATTGTATATACATGACAGTTTGGAACTTATTAAAATATCGTTTAAAAAAAATATAATTATCAGTTTATTGCCTCATGTTTCGATATGTTAAACTCAGATAATCTAATGGAGCATTAATTTACCTAATGCAAAATAATTAATAATTTATAATGTACACTGTTCAACAACAATAAGCTATTATTTTAAATTGTTTGTGGTTATTCCTGTGACATTAATAATTTATTAATTACTCGTAAAATAAAATTAGTTCTCATTTGCTTGATTTGCATAATTTATTGTTACAGAGTTCGTTATTATAATATCAATTTGTCACAATCATGTCCTATCCTGGCCAGCCACCTATGGGTATCCCAGGAATGCCTCCGATGCCATACATGGTCGGAGCACCTCCGCCAATTATTGGAGGAGTCATGCCTATGGCCCACGTAAGTAAACTTGCCACATTTAGGCATGATGGATGTGTTTTGAGATCGATTTTGATTATCTGCAAAATGCATTACATTTACTTACACACAAGTTGAACTAATTTGTGCATAGTAACTTTTGCTTATCGTTGAAAAATTTTGTTTGGAATTGTAATTTGTAGGATGTATCAAAAAGCATTACTTTCACAACACGATACATAACACACATATATAATAGTAGCACTGCATTATTACACATGCTGTATTAATTCCTACATATAAAGCACGCATATACACATTACACATTTATATTGCCGTAGAGCGATACATACATCAACAGTAACTGCACTCATAGATTATCATGTATAGAAGAAAAACAAACGTCTTTCAAATGAGCGTTTATGAACAGTTTTATGCACAGAAAGGAAAAAGTTGTCTTTCTACAAATTTATTTAATGCATGTAATACACAGAGTAGAATGGACAGTACGATATTTTGTAGCGATGCTTAGTTGAAGAAAAAAAAATGGATTATTAATCGTGCTATTAGAGAGGGAGGGAAAAACGGAGTGCATGAGTAGACATGTGCATAATTAAGAATCCTACCATTTATAAAACATAGATGATTCCATCACCCGTATCTGCGATGCAGACGTCCGCGCCGGCAGTACGTTACTCGCGCAATCAGAATCGCCACGATAATAATCGGAGGCGCGAGAGAGAGTCCGGCCCACCTGTCACGGTATTCATTGGTAACATAATGGACAGAGCGCCCGACGTGATGATACGACATATTCTGGGCGCGTGCGGGCATGTTCTCTCTTGGAAGAGAGTACAGGCGTTCGGCTTTTGCGAATTCGCAGGCCCCGACGCGGGTCTCAGAGCAGTCAGGTTGCTCCATGACATGGAAATAGGCACGAAAAAGCTCGTTGTCAAAGTGGACGCTAAAGCTAAGGTAGTTCTGGACCAATTCAAAGGTGAGTTTTTTTTTTCGGATCAGAGATCAAAACCAAGATGGGGATTCGTATGTGGGCAAAAATTACAAAATTCACGTCACTTTACAGCTGAACGAAGGAAAAAACTCAGAGGGGGTCAGTCGCCTCTACAGGACGAAGTGCCCGGCGAAGGAGCTGACGGTGAGGAGGGTGAAGATTACATGGACGAGGGCATGAGAGTGGTCGACGCAGATGCACTCGCTCGTATCAACCAGATCATAGCTGAGCATGCTGTAGATCTGGAAATGGCGCAAGTTGCTCCAGGTACTTATTCGCATGGTTGCTGTAAATCTTACTTATATGGTACACGTGAATTTCTTTAATCTTTCTGTAATCTTTGTCGCAGAGGAACACCAGACAAAAATGGCAGCTAAATCCTTAAATCTGGATGATGCAGAAATAGAAGAGAGTAAAAGAGATTTGATTACCCGGGAAATTGGCAAATTCAGGGAGGTCATGAAGGTAATTATTATTATTATGAGTACTTTAAATCTTTTTTTTTCTAAAAGTCCTGTCTTTCTTTTTTCTTTTTGTAATTCTAAAAAGTTAGTCGCGTTAGACGCAGTAAAAGACGGAATTTTCATCTCTTAAAAAGTATACTGAAAATTTTTTCATTGATTTATCAATATTTATGAGGAAATTGATGTTGTTTATATGTAACTCGGCCTACGAAGCATTATAAACATATCTCTTTTATTTCATTACTGTAAAATAATGAAAATTTGACGGATAAAAATAATGAAGCATTTCAGAAACAGCAAGATAAAAATCTGATCTAATTATGCTCTATATATATATATATTAGCGATAATATATAATGTGTATCCGTATATTTCTCTTCGAGGATTTAAATCATTCTTACTTTTTGTCTTCTTGAATCTTTTTCTTTATCATCTTGATATAAAGCTTTGAAAAATACTTTTTCATCTTTTATTTTCAGAATATCATGTATATGTTTGTAATACTTTGTACTTTACTGTTGATTGTTGCCTTTTCACATGTTTATTTTTTTTACGCATCTATCGGTTCATTCATAAGTTTATGACGTTTGAGTTTATATATTTAATGATGCCGATCGGATATACTTTGTGTACATAAAATTTTCACAAAGCTTGAGAATATTGAATGTACAAAGAAAAGCATTGTTACGTATCTTGTTTGACTTAGATGAAATCAGAGGTACACAGCAGTATATAACAACGACGTAAATCTATGAATTCGTGCTATACACGAAAGAAAGAAACTAATCTTTTAATGTTGATGAATTGCCGCTAGTATCTACCTCGTATATATGTTGCGATTGGACACGAATTGTTACGCTTATACGCTAATGTAACACTTACATGATTTGATATACTAAAAACGCATGGAGATGCAAATTGATGCAAGCTCTGGTTGCAACGTGAATATTATGAAAGTGTCCAATCGCATATACATTCTATCGCAGATAGCTGGTAATTAGACTTTTTCTCTCTATCTTTCTCTCTGTGTCTCTCTCTCTCTCTCTCTCTTTCTCTCTCTGTGTACACTTAAAATGTAAAAGAATGTATTTGGATATATGTATACAAGAGAGGATTACGAGTATATCTCGAAAATCGTAGCTTTTAAGTATTTTATGGTAAAGTGCGTGTGTGCTATATTAGCTCTGAACAATTGGAGCCGTGACTCGTTGCTATAATTATAATAACAGGCAGCGTGCGTCGCACACAGCAAACGCACACGCCTAGGAATGCTGTGTGTGGGGACCACCCTCTCACTCACTCATTGGCTCTGAAGGGAGTCAATCACAGCACAACCCTCGTATTTTCGCAGGCGGCTGCAGGCTCGTCGGTAAGTCAGAGTATAATCCAAACAACCAAACATGAAAAAAAAAAAAAAAAGAAAAATGCGCAATACATTAAAGAAGGAGACTCGTAGCTCTCCGCGACAAGCTGGCGATACGTAGCTGATCAGTTTGTTTCTATTGGTATTCTGTTTTACTGATTCGTCGCAAATCTGTGCTACATTGCGACTATTATATTTTTGACGTTTAGAGATAGATACCATTACGATTTTATTTGGCACTAAACTAACTTTATCTACTTCTGTATATGTCATGCTAAACTGCTAGTAATTAAATCTCGAAAATATATATGTTTTACGTGCCAAAATGATGTGTTGAAATAATAAGTTCTTTCTATCTGTTGTGCAACCATATTTTGTTTTTATAGTAAAGCGTTTTCATTTGATATATAGTTGCGAATACGTTCGGGTATCTATTTTATTTATTCTATTAATTTCTGGTTTATTGCATACATTGATTTCGTTAATTATGAATACAATATTAAAATAATTTATCAAACAACATTGCAAACAACAAATTGCTACGAATTATCAATATACTTGTATCAAAACGTTATATAGGTATTTATTAAAACTAAGAGCTAATTATATTAGAAAATAGGAATGAATATAATTCCTACAAGGTGAATTACTAGAAACAGAACAGCTAAATATTTTTCTTAGATTTAAAAATATAGAAATGTGTGTAGAATAGAATCTAGATGATTTTGTAGAAATAGGCTTTGTGAAAAAATATCTCTTTTAAAAGATCTTGACTTTTTTAGAATTATTTGTCATTGATATATTTTTCTAATTAGATATCTGTCGTTTAATATAATTAAAGAGTTAATTAGCTATAAATCGACTCGAGATTTTTAAGACCATTTCGGATCTTGTTCTAATCATTCTTCATCATCTTCAAATCTAAGGAAAATCTTTAAATTTTGTTTCTTGTCAATCACCATGTATACACACCATGTATCGCGTTAATGAAGCAATATAATGTCTCTATACCTTTTCATGCGCGTTCATTCGATTCTAAATATTAAAATTAAAACGAACGACAGGAACGAAGTTACGGCAACGAATATTACGTTATTCATGTTGACGCCTAGCAGTCTAGTATTCGCATATCGAACGTAGGTAAGCGGTTGTCCAGGTTGCTTTCACGCACACACAAGCCTAGGATTGGAACGTATTATCATTTTGAGCAAAACACACTTTGGCGCTGACACACTTTTATATCTTTGGGATAGACTATTTTGTTAGGGGGCGGGAGATTCTCTGTGCGCTACACACAATGAAACTGATTTTGTCCATCACCAAATTACGGCGACTGTTCAGTTGTTGTCTTTATTTTGTGTAAACAGCTTCTGTCAGCGTCTCGATCAGACATGTAGTACCTAGGTGCGCGCTCCTCCATTCTCCGGTACCACCACACTGACTGACCAAGTCAACTTCACACCGTGAGTAAAACTCCACAACCATGAGCCAACACAAGCATTCGGTTCTTGTAGTATTTTTGCTAGTCAACTGCCCATCTGAGAAATACCTTTTTGACTACGTTTCATGTTTCAGCAGTATATTCTCTCCTCACAATGTGCATCTACTTTTATGCACTGAGTTATTCTACCCTTGTTAGAGCTTAAAACTATGGGTTACCGTATGGATGAGACAGCTTACGTTTCCATGTGTCATGCTGGAGTAGACGATTGTATATAAAACGGATGTAGGATATCACTGTCAATGATATGAGAACGATGAAAGATTAAAAGAATTGCATTTTCTCAAATACCGTGATTTTAATAGCAAATATATCAACTACTACAGCGATATCATTTCTATAATAATTATATGCCAAGAAAAAATATTAGAGGGTGAAAAGATATATTGCATAACAGCATAACGAGTGATATTTTACAAATTATACTTCTTTTGTAGAATATTTCATTTAAATATAAACGTTTATATATCCGAATATTGTGGGCAGATTATGTTCTGACCTCGTATAATTGTCGCACAATATAATTAACGACGGAATCGATTTTCCAAACAGTAACCCATTTTTGGATAGTAGTATAACGAATAAGGATGAATCATACTAATTTATTTCTAAGAACGTTGCGTTTATAATAACGGGACGATAACGGTGGGCAAACTATTGTGCATTTGATATTCAACAGTTTGCTGCATCGGCTGCCATAACGCGTGTAACCATTACCAGAGGAAAACAAATGTTGTCAGACAGTGTGAGACAGTTTCTTGGCAAATGTGAAAAGATGTTTTGGTGGGATACCCTTCTTCGTGATGACTGCGCCTCCGATTGGTATAATACTTTCTAATAATTATTGAATATTGATCAAGAATGTCTAAAATAATCTCAAGATCCCCTTTCAAGCTCTTAGATTTTTTTTTACCATTAGATATAGAACACTATCGATTTTACAGGCACATTTGCAATGTTGTAAGTACATTGGGTGGCCTCTGCGATACATCTGTTAATAGCGTTAAGGTACTTAAATTATAAGCTTAAAGTCTAAGATAACTCTTATGCCTGTATCCAAATATTTGTACCTGCACTTAGGTAATTGATATGTAAACGAGATTTCTCTCGCGTAAGATGCTGCCGATCGAGCATACTCCAGTGGAGTGAGTATACCATATTGAAATGAACATCTCTCTACATTCGTTATGTCAGATGATTAAGGCTTATACAACTAGTAATCGTTCTGTATGTGAATCGTAGCCATTTACACGCGAATTTAAATGCGATTCTTTTCTTTTTTTTTTGTACGTCCTTTCTGTCGATTGTTGAGAAACATTTCCTCAACAATTGACGTACATTTTGGCAAAATTTATTTAATAAATTGCGTTAATATCCGCGTTTTAATTTGTAGCTTTGTCCAGTAACTACTACGCATTCTTTTATTCTCATAACAATCGTCAGAAAGATCTTTATTATCTTATTTGCTGACAAACCTTTACAAATATAATAGTCTTGTTCTTTTGTTGCATCTAAGAAAGATCTACGATTGCTAGTTCCTTGGTTCCATCATTATCTCAGATCGACACGCTTGTTTCAACCTTTTTGTCTCACCTGTACCCGCGTTCTTGTGTTTTATAGAAGCAGGAGGAGGAAAAGGCCCAGGTGAAGCGAAAGAAGGAAGCTGTCGAGAAAGAGGAGCGCGAGAAGCGGGAAAAGGAACGACGTGATAAGCGTGACGATGATGCCTCGAACAAGGACGATCAAGACGGAGATCCTAGTAGTCCTACGTCTCATAAAGGTCGTAGTGATAGTACTGGCAGCAGTAGAAGGGACAAACGTCGTTCTAGATCTAGGTGAAGTAACTTTTGTACCACGCTTGCATAGGATAGACGCACCGGTTGAGCAATGTACAAAACGTACGACATATTAAGGGGTCTCACCACCCCTGAGGCCCTAAAATGATACCTAAGTTTCGGAAGTTATCCATTTACCCACAAAAAAATCCCAAACTTATGGTATCATTTTAAAACCTCAGGGGTGATGGAACCCCTTAAATCAAATATTTTTGCAAATATAGGAATCCACATGCAAATACGTGTGATAATACACAGTTTGAACATACATAGATTTATGCTGCATGATGCTATATAATTTCTTTATTGTTTTTAGATATAATTTTTTTCTTTACTTCATAAACTGTTTGAATTTTTCAGATCTAAAGAACGTGACAGGGACCGATTGAGAAACGACCGAGACCGGGATCGAGACAGAGATCGCGAGAGAGATCGAGAGCGGGAGCGGGAACGAGAACGAGAGCGGGATCGGGATCGTGAGAGGGAACGCGAGCGGGAACGCGAGCGAGATAGAGAGAAGGAGAGAGACCGAGACCGAGAACGGGAGAGGGAGCGGGAGCGGGAAGAGGTGAGAAAGACCGAAAGAGAGATTATGCGCGAGAGGGAGGAGGAGGAAGAGGCAAAGGAGAGAAAGAAAAATGAGAGGCGAGCCAGGGAAAAGGAGGCGGCGTACCAGGAGCGTTTGAGGGCATGGGAGACACGCGAACGGCGCAAACAGAAGGAGTACGAAAAAGAAGCTGAGAAGCGTCGTGCGAAACGCGAGGCCAGAGAGAGGGAGGCAAAACGTCTGAAGGAGTTCCTCGAGGATTACGATGACGATCGCGATGATTCCAAGTACTACAAGGGTAAAGAATTATCTCGCCGGGTCCAAGAACGGGCATTGGAAGCCGAAATAGACTCGCGGGATCGTTGTGCCGAAAGCCAAGAACTTCAGCGTCTACGCGACAAATTGTACGCAGATGCCTCTAACCCGGATCCTGCCGCGGAATTTGAAAGGGTAGGTCGCATCTCTTGTATCCTAAATTTATAATTAAAGGGATCGTAAGATTCCGAATCAATTTTTATTTTGTTTTCCTTTGAACTCTTTGAATTGAATTTCTTTTCTTTGTTAAATTTAATTTGAGAACTCATTTGATTGAAAAATCTTTTTTTACAATATTGCATAGGAATTAATTCTATTTTCTATGTTATAATTAAAAATGTTATATTTGATCACGCTGCTTAACGCTGTAGACTCAAATATTAATTAAAAGAAAATACATAATGTTTTTTTATCTCTTATTTAATTTTGTGCTTTGTTCCTTTTTTCATTAGTTGAAAGCCGAAAGGGAGGAACAGTATAAGCCTAAACCAGTAATTACTATAATTGACGAAGAGGATGACAAGGTGGTGAAGAAAGATAAGGAGATAATGCCGCCGATAGAAACCGAGCCAATAGAGAGTGACAGTGATGACGGTGTGCAGTTTGACGATGTTTCTCAGCCGGAAGCACCATCCAGAACGCCACCGCGACAACATCATCATCATCATCGTCGGCATCATAGACATCATCAAAATCATCATCGCGATGGTGAGGAGAATCAAGAGGGATTAGTGGAGGTAGATCGAGAGAGTCTGAAAGATGCACGGCCGTCACCGGGGCATCAATCGGCTGCGACACCTGCTCAATCCATTCCACCGTCATTAGATGAAGATTCACGCATGTCCCTTGTTAGTGAACCAGAAAAGACAAGCGGTAGTAAGTGTAACTTATTTTATCTACAAATATAAATTGCCTTCTTGCAATTTTCATATACAATTTACACGATTTCGATTTAACCGTTTACAATAAATATTTTGAATGCGTATATAATGCCTTAAGGAATATCATTTCGATAATTTTATATTTTTAGTTAATATATATAAAATATTGTTTGTAATGTATCGATATAATTTTTGCCATGTACAACTACATTTTTTAATATTTTTAATGCGTATATAATGCTCTAAGGAATATTATTTCAATTTCGATAATTTTATATTGTTAAGCTGATATATATAAAATATTATATGTAATGTATCGATATAATTTTTTGCATGTATAACTACATTTTTCCTTGATGTAGGTAACTTTGTTCCATTTGCTATGGGAAGTGGAGGCAATCGTGCTAGCGATCACAGTATAGGCGGTAAAACGCCGGTTAGTCCTAACACTGCTGCTAATACTAATTCACAACAGCCAAATCAAACACGGAAAAAAGGCCGTATTGACGTTAAAGACGTATTCAATAACGATGACGACGATGATAATGCTAATAACGCGAAAAAGCGTAAACTCGTACCTTTAGGTAAGTGTTTTAACTTTATTACTAACTCTAAACTTGTTGAGAAAAGCTGAGATACTTAAAATCTCTATCTTCTCGAAGATTATGGAGACGAGAAGAAAAAGAAAACTGAAGAAGCCACGAAAACAGGCAAAGAAGAAAACACAAAGAGCCAAGAGGAAAAGCGAAAACACATAAAATCTCTCATAGACAAAATACCTACGGATAAGAATGCATTGTTCGGCTATCAACTCGATTGGGCACTCATCGATAACGTAAGTGTTATTCATATTTTCAGAAAAACAAATTTTCTTTTCTGCAACAAATAATTTTCCTTCTTATTTTTTATTGTAATTTCTTTATGTACTTTATTTATATTATTGTAATTTCGATTGGTAAAATCTAATTCCAGCGTTTTCACATATTTTACTTTTTCATTTAGACATTAATGGAGAAGAGAATAAGACCTTGGATCAATAAAAAGATTATCGAATATATTGGCGAACCAGAACCTACTCTAGTGGATTTTATTTGTAGCAAAGTAATGGCGGGCAGTTCTCCTCAGGGAATACTAGACGATGTACAGATGGTAATTATACCGCTACAAATAATTTTTACTCTTGTATTTTAGAACAAATTTTGCAAAATATGTATCTCGCGTATTTCAGGTGTTGGACGAAGAAGCGGAAGTGTTCGTAGTTAAAATGTGGAGGTTACTAATTTATGAGGTGGAAGCTAAGAAAATGGGCTTAGTGAAGTAAATGGAGTGTCGTCCGTAAATTCATCAACTCATGATTTATATTACACATAAAATTCTTTTGACTAAGTGTAAGGAAATGTTTAGATACTACATACTTATATGCAGTTTAATATTATATTATTACATAGAAATTCTGCCCTACAAGTGAAAGCATAAGTGATGCTCGATATAGGTGGTACTAAATGTGTAGTAATTATAGCGTTAAATAAACTTGTAATTACGATTTATAATATTTAGTGTGTTCCTCAATTTATATACGACTGTCGTCGAACGTGAATGACGACACATTCCTACATGATAAAACTAATTATTGGTATCTTGATATAATATTTTAATTAAATTGTATATTATGATCATGTTTCTATATATTAGATAGACAAGTATCATACTCAATAATTGAACTGTATGAAAATCGGCACAATCACGATTAAAAGAAATCACTATTTTCTCTTATCTATTATCTAAATAGTAAGTTAATATAAAAAAAACAAATATTTCGATACGAAATTATTTTAACGTTAAATTTATTAATAGCAAGGGAAAATAGAAGGGCATTTCTTTCAATCGCTTGTTTCTGATTAATTTTTCAACGGATGTATAGGAAATTATATCACGAGAATATGTATGTTGCCTAAATAGACTTTAATAGAGAAAGTCTATTAGAAACATTGCCATTTGTTTTCCAAATATTTATAATATATTAATCTTTTTTTTCAAATATTCAGAATTAAACGACGCATTCGCGAATGAATTTGATGCGTGAAATTGCACTAATTGTGAGTGTATTGTATTTAAATATTCATATATTACGTATGTGTGTTGTATAATATTAATTTTATAAGTTATAGATAACGATGAAACTTTATAATAAATGAAACTTTTGAAATTGACGTACGGTTTGATTTTTTATTTTATTATATATTTTTCTAACATTTCGTCTATTTTTTTAAATTTATACTTTTGAATTCCTAGATTAAAATTTTTTAGAGTTCTTGAAATTATAATTCTCATAATTTTATATCTGATTGCATTTTCTCGATATTTTCGATTTATTTTTGAGAATTTAAGTTTTCCTCGAAAATATTGGTGTCGATAATAGACGTTGTTACCAATTATAGTTGTGAAGCTATACGTCGAATTTTATCAATGTGCACACTGTGTATTATAATATTATACATCGACATTGCTTACCTACACTACATAATCTTATTCTATTTCAGCGCTAGATGTCTCTGCGTATACCATTTTCCTGTTCTCACATAAACGAATAAAAGGTTGTGTTATTTGGCTCTAGTCGTACGAGCAGGAAAGATGTACATACATTAAGACAAACTGTTACAATTTGTATGACAGACTAAGCGTCACAAGTAACTAACTGATCTAGCATGAGTAGCAAAATGGACACATACAGGTAAAACCACAAAATTTTACGTATTTAATTTTACGCTGCAGAAGAGTCAATCTCAGTACGTTTAATCTTAATGCGAAATCAACTGCGAATCAGCAAACCTCTCTGATGCTCGTTCTGTTTTTCACCTTTCATTATTGCGAAAATACTGCCCGGCAGTCTGATTCTGTCAGTGTTAATTATACACGCGTTGTGTGTGCTCGAAGCCGGTGATCAAATGACCAAACAGTGGAAAATGACGCGAGTCTCCCACCTCTGTGTGTCGGTTTTATATATCGGCACTACTGACAGAGATTAATCGTAATTGACTCGATACGGGCGCATTTACGTAGTATTTTTACCGCGGGGAACAGGTCGGTGGGTTTTCTCCTTTGCGACAAAAAGCAAGGATATGCAAATATATTAATGGGACTCTCGAGTGGTCCACATAATCGCGCGCACATGAATGGTATGATATAAATCTGGGAATATGATGGATTAGCTGGATTCCCCCGAAAGAGGAGAAAACGATTGCCATTTATGCGCTTTTTTCCTCCGTAGTTTTCGCCTTTTTCAACTTTGAGATTAATCTGTTTATTCGTGTCCCAAGCTTTTTTACCCGGTACGATTCGAGATGAGACAAAGTTCCGAAGGTTTCTTCATAAACTTGTATGTATAGTAAAAATTGTTTTATATGTCTTAAATATAATCATCGCGAGTATATTACATATTTACAAAAATTTTTTTATTTTTATTGTGCGTTTTTGATAATCGTTTCTTTTTCACTTGCAGTTTAGAATGATCGTTTGTTTTAACTTAAAAAATGTCGAAATATTAATAAGTTTCATGTTTCATCTTTGATGATCTATTGATTTTACTCGATATATAATTGTAGAGGTTTGATACTACAATATTTAAAATCGATCCCTTCAATTATCTTGAAAATACGATTTCAATCACAGATAATTGGATAATTCGAGATGCGAGACACACCGCGCGTGCTATATATATCCTGATGAACATGTAGCATATTGCAAAAATTGTTTTGCATAAGATAGACACGCATGAAGATATAGACATGCCTCAAAATGCACGGTAAACAAGATACCATATTATGTAAAATTGTATTCGCGGATTGCAATTTGCATTTTTGCCGGTTATTTTATCGTGTCTCTTTTCACATCGTCTTGTTTGCCAATTTAAAGATATCGCGCGCCCGATTTAAATGTTACAATCTTTGATTACAAATTCGAAGAGAGTGGGAATTTCAATGCGTCTTCCTCTCTTATTAATTCCGACGTCGGCGCCGCAAAAATCTGCGAAACGAAATTATGTGCAGATATAAGTAACGATGGTTCACCGACAATGGCGAGTCGAATCGCTGGGAAGCACACGGGAGAGAGAAAGAGAGAGGGAAAGAGAGAGACCATGGCAATTTAAATAAATTAACGGAGCTCGAGCGTATCCACGTATACTTTCACCGAGTTAAAGAAAAGGAAGGAATACTCGAACAAACTCCTCCGCGCGTCGGGTAATTGCGATTAATGACCATTTTTATTAAACGCTCGTAATTTTGGTCTTTCGACAATTCCGCTGGATGCGTTTAAAAAAATTGTCAAATTAACGTCGAATAATTCAAAATTAATTTTCGTTCTGAACAATCTGAACCAAGGACGGAACTGAAAACATCTTTTTCTTACACATGAACTTAATTTACTCCGTAAATATAAAATCGATCAGTTTAGAATTAAACGCCAGTTTATTTTTGCTCCATTTCTCTCAAGATTGTATCTGAAAAATTACATGAAATAGAAAAGCGATTGAGTTAACGAAGATTGGAAGGCACTTTGCCGAAAAATGTATGTACGCGCAATGGTTGTTTAGGTCAGATAATTATCGCGCACTTAACTTGACTAAAGTACATTGGATGTTCATTTTCGCATTGTGCAACATCGTGCAACGCTTAATTTATCGCTCGAACTGTTAAATCGACGCGATCCCACGTGATTCGATTCGCGATACGATCTACGCGATATACTTCGGTACCGTACGGAAGATCATGTACGGAGGGAAAATACATGGAGAAGATACGATCATCTTGAAATTTTTCAAGTATATATTAGAAGGGTGCCTGGAAACGTGCGCGCGCGCGTCACCGATGCTATTCGAGACGATCAATGTCTTGCATCGTATTTGCAGCAATGATCATCGCGTATTTCGTAGACGCAATCGGTTTATACATCGGTATGAGAAGGATAAGTCGTATAATTATTGATAACGTTACGTAACGTCAGACGAGTTCCTTCAGACGGCAACTTTTGTTGAACAGATCTATAAGAATCGTGCAGAAGATCTGGACGTAGAGTAGTAGCTGTTGGAAAGTTTTATTCCTTTTATATGTTGACATAAGAGAGATAAATTATAAAACTGTATCAATTTATTTTAACGAGATATACATTTATCTTATCAAATGTTTCGTGTAATTTATCTCAAAAGCAGCGTTAGCGTGTTCTGTTTTCTGTTTTAACGTAAAAGAGCCGCGCGTTTCGTGGCACCTGAATTTCAATACTCGTCGCTTCTCGACTAATATACGAATCCGATTTCTCCTTAATTAGGATATCGAGGCACCGATAATTTTCCACGGCGCTTCTCGGCGCACGTAAGCGAGATACGTAAATCGTATATAGATTTTCCGATGACAAGAAGGGGAGATTAGCGGGCACGACGCGGTGTCGAATTAAAAATCGGCGTTAGTCACTTCCGTTGCGTCGGTATCTTACGCGCGCGCGAGGGAGACTTTATCGCGTCGTTGCAATTTCACGCGTCACTTTCCAGGCTGATTGCTCTCTATCTCTCATTCTCGCGCGCGTGCAAACGGCGCGTATACCTTCCCAATAATAAACCCGCCGATCGACGATAGTTTCGCAATTTGGCTCGCGCACACAAACACACACACACACACACACACACACATACACACATATATTATACTCTCTTTCCACACACCGTATCATAGAAAGTGTAGCAATGCGCCACATGTGTGACTCACGCCGCCGCGGCGATCGCATCCGACGATGGAATTGCGCCGCGCGCCGGCTGCAAGACCCATCGCCGTTGCCGATTCCCACGGCGTAAAGCGTAAATCTGTGTCGCAATTGCGATCCCGACAATATGAGCATGGCAATGCAATGGGGATAAATTTAGAAAAAAGTGTCTATACACTAATGTTATACGCATTGTCAGCGCTGTCAGTGCTAATCAAACTCGAGCTTTTACTGAGCCGACGGACTCTCTGCAGATATATGGTATATATCGATTCTTTAGCTGCGATGCCTTCAGTTTTCCTTTCCCAATATAATTCCTATCTTTAAAATTTAATTGTATTAATTTTAATTTCATTAAATAACGATTAACTAGCATTACTAATTTTGGAATTAAGCCAGACAGACGTAATATTAGCGATAAATACCGATCACATAAAATTGTACCTTACAAACGGCCATTACTTCTGTCTTCGGCATCATAATAAACGTATATGATATATCTCTTGGAAGAATATATTCGCGCGATTATGATTATCAAGTAATCATTTTGAGAATCTGATCTGGCCGCGTTGTTCTCGAGGTTAGATTAAACGGGCGCGAGAGAGAGAGTATGGACCGAGCGGAAAAAGGTGTCGAAGAGAGACGGCAATAAGAGGGAGTAATGCAGAAGCAAAAGGCAGAAAACACCGGTAGGCAGTTTTGTAGCTGTTTTTATCAGCTTCTGGGCATCGGGGGTCCAGAGGCCCGACCATGGCAGGACGCATCTTGGGGGGTTCGTGTGGGAACGTACGTCTCTTTAGC